CATCTCCCCTCTCTCTCTTCCCCCTCTTTCTCTCTCTCTCTCTCTCTCTATATATATATATATATATATATTGGCTCCTTTCTCTCCTCTCCTCCTCTCTCTTCTCGCTCTTCTTTCTCCTCCCGCGCCTCTCCTTTCTTCTTCTCTCTTCTCTTTCCCTCTACTCTCTCCTCCTCTTCTTGTCGACTTTTTCTCCCTGATCCCCCTGCTCCGACTCCTCTGCTTTCTCTTCGACAATTATACCTCCTGCTCCGCTGCCTCCTCCTTCGTCTCCCTCCTCCTATATTATATATATAATATATGATATATATATAATAGTAAGTGTGTAAGTATCTATACAGTGTACAGCTGGTTGTTTGTGTCTATGTGCTGTACAGGGCGACTTCGGTGACGTCAGTTCCAGGAAGAAACTGAGAGAGAAGCTACAGTGTAAGAACTTTGATTGGTACCTGAAGAACATCTATCCTGAACAGTTCATACCGAGCGAGGCGGTTGCATCGGGAGAGGTACGCACGCACCCACCACTGTATATTTATCACGCACGTACGCACGCACGCACATGCGCGCGCGCGCACACACACCAACACACACACACATACACACATACACACATGCACACACACATACGCGCACTCACACACACGCACGCACTACTGCGCGCTCACGCTGCGCGCACACACACACACACCACACACACAAACACACACACAAACACACACACACCAACACACACACACACACACACACACACACATACACACATACACACACATACGCGCACTCACACACACGCACACGCACGCACACGCGCGCGCACGCACACACGCACACGAACGCACTCACGCGGCACGTTACGCACACCACTCACTCACACACACACGCAGCGCACTCACACACACACACACGCACACACACGCACACACCAACAAAAACACACGCACGCACACACAACAACCACAAATATATAGCCACATTATATATATATATATACATAATATACACGTATGTTTTATTTTTAAATTAAACCCACATAACTCCGAACTTTTCATCTATGTCTATATTCATATATTTATTAAAATTCATAATTATTCGTGTGATGCTTTAACGTTTATAAACTGTTGCGTATTATAATGCAATTGCGATTGTTTCATGCTTTTTGTGATAAACGTTCTTACTCTTAAAGGTTTGTGGCATTCTATGTCTTTGAGTGTTTATTATTGTTGATAGTGTTTTACGTGCGGGTATTTGAGCGAGTGCCAGTGACTCGTTACTGCTGTTGTAGAGCTGTTGCCCGATCTCTCTCCATCTAGCATTTGTTCACGCACTCATGTTTGCACTCACAAGAAAGTAGGGGTGAGATCGAGGGAGCAAAGAAAGAAAGAGGAGAGAGAGAGAGAGAGGAGAGAGGAGAGAGAGATAGACGAGAGCGGAGATTGGAGCTAGAGAGAGATTAGAGAGAGAGAGAGAGGAGAGAGAGAGAGAGAAGAAGAAACTGGAGAGAGAATAAGAGGAAGGGAGAGAGGAGTGAGGGAGGAAGAGAGAGAGAGAGAAGAGAGAGAGAACTCAGAGAGAGCTAAGAGACACACAGAGATGAAGAAGACCAGGAGAATGAGAGAAGAGGGAGAGAGAGGAGAGCGATAAGATCGATGAGAGAGAGTGAGAGGAGAGAGAGAGCCGAGAGCCAGAGGAGAGATAGAGACACAGAGAGACGAGAGAGAGACCAGAGAGAAGAGAGAATGAGAGCTAGAGAGAGGCGAGAGAGAGAGAAAGACAGAAACAGAGAGAGAGAAAGACTGAGATGACGCAGGAGAGAAGAGAGATGAGAGAAATTGATGAAAGAGCAGAGAAGAGATTAGAGTTTGCGTGTTTTGTGTGGTAATGAAATTACTTCTCTCTTATTGCATCGCCTCTCATGCCACACTATTTCTCAGTTTAACATCCAAACCACACCACGTACACATTAACAACCTAACCCCGCACTAACTACTACATGCTAGACTTAGCGTCATTACGGTTTCGCGCAACCATCACGCCTTCCTTCTTTTACTAGCAGCCAGGGCGACTAACGACTCCCTATACGTTATATATATATATTATATATTTATATATATATATATATATATATGTTATATATATATGTGTATATCTATATAATATATATGTATATATACATATATATGTGTATGCATATGTATATGTATAACATGTATATGTACATGTATATGTATATGTATATGTATATGTATATGTATATGTATATGTACATGTATAAGTATATATATATATATGTATATGTATATGTATATGTATGTATATATGCTTGCGCTTCATTTACCAAGCTGCGTAGCAGAGGTAACGGAGGCATGTTCTGCCTAGACGACACGGTCACCATGAAGGGTCGCCATTCTCTGGCGCTCTACCGATGCCACCACAGGGCCGGTAGTCAGGTACTAACACCACATCACTGCTTCCCCCCGCACGCCTCCACCAGCCATCCTAGCAGTGCATGCGCCATGTAGGGGCGTAGACGTTCCAGCAGCTGCTTTACTCGCATGCCCACCTAGTAGCATGTATGGGTGGGGTGGGTTTGTATCAGTAGCATGTATTGAGAGGGAGGGGGTTGTACAAGCAGCATCCCTGGTTGCATGCCCGCCTGGCAGCATGTGTTGGGGAAGGAAGGGGGAGGGGGTTGTACCAGTAGCATCTTTTACCGGCAGTGTCTTTGATTTTATGATCGCCCCGTCAGATATATATCATTTATTGCCGCTATTCTGGCATTACCTGTTGCGCCATCTATTAACGGCTGATGGAACTATGTTCGCCATCTCTTCAGGATGTCCGGCCTTAATCCAAACATTACCACTACGACTGTCATCATCATCATCATCATCATCATCATCATCATCATAATCATCATCATCATCATTATCATCAGTATCTAACTAGGGTTTTCCTACCCTCAGCCAACTAATCTTAGCCACCCTGCGTAGCCATCGCCTCTCCACAAGGCAGTGCGAAGCCCATGCTAAGCAGGCCCAGTGCAGACACAGAGTTTAACTACACAGGGTATATCTCAACACGTTAGGCATTTCTTCAGCATCCCTGGTGTGAATCACCGAGGTCTGGTTAGCATGCGTTAGCAACAGTGGTGGCGGCTGATATCGGACGATGGTCTATGATTCGTTTATCATCATTGCGACTAACTTCATTTACTTTCATGGCTCCCAGGGGCTACGTGTCGTCCATCAAAATCTGGTAACGTGTCGCCATCTGGCGGCCAAACATGTCATGATTCGAACCCGAATACTATTTCATTCACTAGTCACTAGCAGATCATTAACACTATATAGAAGAATGTAGCCCAACTAGAGTTTAGACTCTTGCGCAGGTTGCGCGGGGGGGGGGGGGTGACAGATTATCAACTTTTCGCTTACACATATCACTCCCCCACCCACCCAGGGTTGGATGTCCGCCCCTCCCCCACCCACCCAGGGCTAGATGTACGCCCTCCCCCTACACCGGGCCGCATGTACACCCCTCCCCCACTCTAGGCTGCATGTGCACCCCTCCCCGTACCCACCCACCCTAGGCTGCACCCCTACAGGAACCACGCACGCCCCCTGAATTCATGCCTATGTGTGTGCTGCATGTAGATTCGCAACCTGGGCAACGGTGGCGCCTACTGTGTCGACGCACTTGTCCGCCCGAAAGGTCAAACAGTGAAGGCGTGGCCTTGTCACGGCAAGAAGGGCAACCAGGTAACCATGGCAACCGGCGCCCGGAAGAGAGCGGCAGTCGGGCGTCTGCGCGCGAGCTGCTGTTGGCATGACGACGCTCGGCGCCATTTTTCCTCCAATTCTTCCTCTAATGCAGCATTCGATACGTTCCTCTTTCCAATACGTTCCTATTACCAATACGTTCCTATCTTCAGTGTGTTCCTATCTCCATGTATGTTCCTATCTCGTGTGCCCTTTGCGCACTGAGCTATGAATTCGCAACTGTCAGAAGGAACATTTCCCGCGCGCGATGACGTCACATGCCGACAGACGCTCGCCGCGTGACGACGCGTCTGCGCACGCGCACAGCACGCACGCACGGGTGCAGGTGTAGTAGATAGAGCGGGTGTTGTCTGCTGCATGCACGCACGTACCTACTAACCCACGACACGAGAGAGTGAGGCACGCACGCCTCACGCGGCCGCTCACGGCGTCACCTGTCGAGAGAAATTGGAGATAGAAGGGCCGCGACCGAGAACGCGGAATACAGATTCCCGCGAGCGCGTCTGCTCGAAGCGTGGCGCCCTCTGACGAGTGAATTCTCTCCGCATTTCTCTCCTGACAATGGCAGCGTGAGGCGTAGAGGCAAAGGGAAGGGGGTTGGCGGCGAGTCGTTGAACCTTCGCCGGGGGAAGCATGATGACTCAGCGTGTCGTCTTGTCTCTGTTAGATCCGCAATCTAGGTGACGGGGCAATGTATTGTGTAGACGCGGCGCGCAGACCGAAAGGTGGCCAGGTGCATGCCTTCCCGTGCCACGGCATGCGAGGACGTCAGGTAATGAACGCTACTGCTGCTTCTTCCACGCTGGCGATACCACAGAGACACATGCACGGACAGACAAACGGGGCGATAGACGGACGGGTTGACGGGCGGGGAGGAGAAGGGAGAAGAACGGACGGGGGGAGGGAGAAAGGACGGACAGACAGACGGAGCGATAGACGGATGAACGGACGGGTTGACGGGCGGGGAGGAGAAGGGAGAAGAACGGACGGGGGGGAGGGAGAAAGGACGGACAGACAGACTCATTGACGGAGGGGGAGGGGTGGATAAAGGCGTTGCTGCTGCTGCTGCTGCTGCTGTTGTTGTTGTTGTTGTTGTTGTCGTCGTCGTCGTCGTTGTTGTAGTTTTTAATAGGTGATTTTAGCGTAGTGTATAGTTCTACCTCACGGCAAACTGTCGCTAGAAGAAGATTTGCCGTTGTCATGGCATAGCATTTCATTTCCTCGAGTAGCATATACTTATACTTACTCTACTTATACTAGAAGTAATCATAGCCAACGCGTAAAAGACAATCCGAAAAATAAATATTTAATGTAATAATAATAATAATAATAATAATAATAATAATAATAATAATAGTGGTAATAATAAAAATAACGAATGACGATAACGTGACGAGCCTCTTCTTATAACAATGATAACTAATTAATTAATTAAATAATAATTAGTAATATCAGCACCCATCGCACGTTGTCATTATCATGTAGTTCTCACCTGTCTGTCGTTACTACTGCCACAGTTCTGGCAGATGAGTAGAGAAGGAGAGCTGAGGAGGGATGATGCATGCATGGACTACACGGGAGAGGATGTTGTTGTCTATCCCTGTCACGGAGAAAGGGGAAACCAGTACTGGGAGTACGACCCGCAGGTACGTGTGTATACGCATATATATATATCTATATATATATAT